ATAATTAATCATATGAAAAAGGGTATTTACTCATGTGCATGTATGTTAATATTTTAATGACAGCAAATAAGTTTCTGAATAAGATTCTAAAAAACTTTCTGGAAAAAATGCAGATATTGATTTCTATACATTGGCAAAGCTGTCAATACTAGAATCTAGTAGCACAGGCACTTGCAGACCTCCAGTGATTCAGTGATAATATCATTGCTCTCACTGTAAAAGGGGCTTGATACATTGAGCTAAACATCTAGCTAGTTAAGGCAGAATCCAAAAACATCCATTTTAGTTAAATAAAGTCAAGGCTTTGGGTGCAATCCATCCGACTCGAAGGGTGACTGTCATAAATTCTTAATGGACCGAGTTCATACGAACTCTTATCAGGAGTGAACAGAATTGGCTGTGTAGAGTTGACTCCTGTTTACCCAAGCTCATCAGTTATTCAGAGCTAATCAGCCTGAGATGCGAGGATCAGCAGGCAGGCAGGGTGACTGTGAGCGAGTGAGCGTGCGTGTGTGTGTGTTTTTGAGAGATGGAGAGAGAGAGAGAGAGGTGTTGCCGTGAGAACAGACCTCCAGTGCATCGCTGCCGGAGCGCAAGCCACACCACATCTCTGTCCGTCTCTCTCTCCACTGGACTCCTCTCTCAGTTGTGATTTCACACAAAAGTGCGTTATGGACACTCTCCATTTGCTCCAGGTAAAATATGCCAGAATTGTGTCTCAAGTTGAGTAGTTTTTTTTTTGTTTTGTTTTTTGCTTTGCTTTTGCCTGTATTTCAAGTGAGCTATGAAATGCCTTCCTGCTAAGAGAGACGGCTGTAGTGAGTGTGTGAAATGGTTAAATTACTTGGAGGCAAACTCAGAAGTCAGCTCTCTCATGCCAGGGTTTCATGCATGGCTTCGAGAAGTAGTGAAACACTGTGCGTAATCCTATTGGATGCTGCACAGCACATTTTTTAGAGCTTGTTAAATTTTGTCCGTTTATTTTCTTGTCTCATTAAATTCTCAGATCCATGAGCATAGATTTGGGACAGAATGGGAACGTGTCCCTACCATAGTTAGAAACTACTGAATAATCCTTACCAATATTTCTGATCATTTCTGCTTTTAAGCGTTGAATGTTTTTTTGGCATGTTTTTATTTGTTAAATAAGAGTATTTTATTTATAAATTAAATGAACGGGGACTCTATTTGCTATTACAGTCGTTATTCACAGAAAATGTATTTATTATGTGGCAGTATATACATCATACATTTATAATGCTTATAATGTTTCCATTTCAAATAAATGTTGTTTTTTTTACTTTCTCTTCATCAAAGAATCCTGGTGTATCACAGTTTCCACAAATATATTAAGCAGCACTACAGTTTTCAACATTGATAATAATAAGAAATGTTTTTTGAGCACCAAATCAGCTCCCTTTATGACTTAAAATAATCTAAAAAATCTGAATAATAATTGTTGCAGAATGCTGAACACATTTACAATTTATTAATGATTCAGTTTATAGGCTATGTTTTGGATGAATATTTTGGTGGGGCTCTGCTCCCCTCGCCCTTACAGACAGTATAGCTGCCTGTCATCAAATAGAAGTCTTTTGTTTGGAGGTTTTTATTCAACATACAAGTTACTGAAGACCAAATCTATATATAAAAAGAACAACTGTTCTGAGTTCTGACCTTGAACAGGCTGTTTTTATGAGAATATGTGTTCATTTGATTTTAAAACATGCATGCGAATTAGGGCTGGGCAAAAAAAAAACGATTTTTCGATAAATCGTTTTTTAAAATGTGGTCGATTCAAAATCGATTCTCAACGGCCACGAATCGGTTTTTTTCCATATTCAGGGCTCGCGGTGCTGCGTCTTCTCACTCTGCACAAGGCAAGCGTCAAGCGCTGCAGGCGTCGATACACACTCGTGTTTAGGAGTCGGGACATGATTCACTTGCACAATCGGGCCAGCATTGCATCGTAACTAACGTTTATCATTTTCACGTCTTTTTTAAGTTTTACCAGTTTAAACATTCAAGCAATTTTAAACTATCCTGTGCTCGCGCACTCGCGCATGTTTTTCATTGCGTGCACATACAGTAAAGCCTAAATCCGCCTCACAAACAGCTCGCCAGTAACAAAAGTTCTTTTTTGTGGATTATATCGCTTTAACAGTTAAAAACACGCAAAATGATGTCAAAACTCTGGTCTTGGTGAGTAACTTCGTAAAGACAGTCGGTTATGTCTTAAATAAACATAAAACGCGTGGACATACAGTATAATGAAATGGTAATGGATCCGTGCAGTAGTTCTTAAAGTGAACGCAGCCATATGTGTCTGTCATTAATTTTGTTGTCAAAACAACATAATATAGCATTAATTGTAAGGAATCAGAATTAATAGCCTATGTATTTAATTCAGTCAGGACTAAAAGACTATCCAGTGTTATTTTACAACGGATTACTTTATTCAGTTTCTGTAGTATTTCTGACCTACCCAAAAACTTTTCTTTTTATGTCTCTTTATTTGTGTCTTTAGGCCTATTCTATTGTATTTATCTGTGCTACTTTTTTCAATTTAATTCAAAGATTGAAATCAAGCTTCCATGTGTTGCATAAACTCTTAACAAAAAAATTACCCCATTGTAAAAACAAACATTTAGGTGAGATCAATGTAATAGAAAATTGTCTAAAAAATGATAACTGATATTTAGACTGAGATTTGTATTACATCTATATTCATTATAGTCGAATCGAGAATCGAAAGCTTTTCGTGTTTTCTTGCAGTAACTAAGTGTATTTGTTGTCATTTTGCTGTCATATTATGAGCATTCAGGACTTAAAGGTTGGGTAGGTCGTTTTTGGTCTAAAAAGCTTTTTCCCAAATTTGTTTAAACTTTCTATATATATCAATGCATAATTAAAATGTAAGTACTCTGATAAAAAGAGTATAAAAATCGAGTGACTCTAGACCGTTTAATCTGCACTAAACACAGCTCATTATTTCCTTCCGGGACGAAACAAAGGATTGGCTTAGGCGACTGTCACTCTCTCGCAACCATGGCAACACCCCCGCTGCTACATGCGCTGCCCACATGCGCGCACTCGTTTGACTCGAGGAGGGTAAGAGACTAGTAAGAGACACAATTACATGCAAAACACGGCGTATATGTTATGAATCTTACACAAAATTCACCTTCATCACAGTGTAACTGATTGTAATGGGAAAACGTGTATCAATGCAACCTGTTTTTAGCTTTGCTTTATGTTACTAGCTCGTTAACTAATCAAACTCAATATATTTTAAACTTTAACAGTATCGATATGCTAGCTTGATAGTGAGTATTAACAGCCATGTTAGTTGTTTATATTCATAATGATAAAGTTAGGTATTTTATTACATGTGAGTCTGACATGATGTCACTACATGCACTGCTCCTCTCCGCTCGGCGCTAGTAAGCGCGTCCTCCAGCTGTGAGCTGTCGGCATCGCACGTTCATGTGTTTTGGGGGCGTGGTTTTGGAAGGAGCCCAGAATGGAGGGGGTGGAAGTGAATGGAGATAAGTAGCTGTGTTTATTACAGCCCTGAGAGGACTACAGACACTCGATTTTTATACTCTCTTTTCCAGAGTACTTACATTTTAATTATGCATTGATATATATAGAAAGTTTAAACAAATTTGGCAAAAAGTTTTTTTTAAAAAATTCTACCTACAATACCTTTAATTGGAGAAAATTAGTGCATATTTGTAAAGGTTTATAAAAGGCTTTTGTTTGGTTGGATTTCAAATTATTTGTTTGATTAAAGGATAACAAGCCAGCATAACTTCTGGAGCTGCAATCGATCATATTTGCTTTCCTGACTTCATTCTCCTTATAATCAGAGTATCTATTTCTATCAGTTTGAGCCCAAGAGGCCAGCAAGGCTGCCATTGATTCTCACCGTTAAACAGCTGTCTTGCCGGCAGCTTGGGATCCTTATTGCTCTCATTTCCACCTAGCGTTCAGGGCCGTGGACACTTATAATGCAGAGGACACTGTGTGTGTCTGATTCATGTCTCTCTAACTTTCATTCTAATGCTGTTTTCATACTTAATTTTCTTTGTCTCTTTGCTAATGATACTCCAAACGTTCATCGGTGTGAGAGCATTGTGAGTACTAGCAGCAGCTGTGTACCGCTGTGACTCTGGACAAGAAGATGCCAGCTTCACTGTTTTATTCATGTTTTTAGTCACTTTGAATTCCCCACCAAAACCTTACGTTCACATACACAGGTGCTCTGCTTGAGCAGAGATGGAAAGTTAAATCTGGTGATTGGTTGTGACTTATCAACTTAGCCAAATGACTTAGAGTCATCCTAATTAGAGTCTTTAGGTTTACAAGGAGAATTATTATTTATTTATATATGATTACATTTTTGGGGTTGGTAATATTTTGTAATGTTTTAAATGTCTCTTGCACTCACCAAGGCTGCATTTATTTGATCAAAAATACAGTAAAAACTTGGTGATCAAGAAACTTTTTTTTTTTTGTATTATCAATGTTGAAAAGAGTTGTGCTGCTTAATAATTTTCAGTAAACATTTTTTTTTTCAGAAATCCTTGATGAATAGAATTTATTTTTTATTTTTGCATCAGCATTTATTTGAAATATTCAAAAAAAATTGTAATATTAGAAATGTCACTTTTGATCAATTTATTGCATACTTGCTGGTTATAAGAAATGTATGATAGTAAGTATGACCAGAAGCATGAAAATATGCAAATTCAACATTATTAATAGCATTTCATATCCATAAATTGGACATATTACGTTTATATGCCAATTGCAAACTGTACCCCAAACCAACTTTTTTTATTTATTTTCATAAGTAGACTCTGCACACCTGAGTCTAGAAAACCCCTTTCACATCAGCCAAACGATTCACACTCTGACGACAAACAGACTCTGGTCCACACCACAATCTCTAGTGTGAAAGCACCCTAAATGTTCCTCTGCTCTTTGTCTTCCAGATGGACCCTGTCCAGAAAGCTGTAATCAACCACACATTTGGAGTCTCCATTCCTCCCAAGAAAAAGCTAGTTATTTCTTGCAACATCTGTCAGCTTCGCTTTAATTCAGATGTGAGTACAAAAACTCTCTCTGGTTATTTGTGTGTGTTTATATGAAGGCGTGTAAATGTTTGTCTTTGGTGTGTGCATGCGCTCCATCTCCTTCTGCATCTCCCTTTTCTCTTAAATATGGAAAGAGGAGTTATCATAGCCCATTCCAGTCCTGCCTGTGTGAAAGTGGCTGTTATAGTTCTGTGTTTCGCTGTGCACGCTGATGGCTGATTAAAACTAGCCCCAGTACAGCCGTTTAGGGTGCAAGTGGCAGCGCTCTTCATTAATCATACAAAACAAGGTAAGTGCGCTAATGTATGGTAATTTTAGCGGACGTGATGCTGCCAGTTTACTCAGCCAGCTTTTAATGAACACTTCTCAGCCATTTTCGACAAGACGCATACTGGATCATTTAAATCGTTTCATTAAATCAATTGTTATGTTTGCTGTTTTTCAGTGCTCTATCTCATTCACTTCCTTTACCTGTGTTGATTGCACGCTAAGACATTGAGCCCATAATAAACACTGTAATTCAGCACAGAGACTAAAGTACGCCTTTATAATCAATTTTTGATGTTGTTAGTTGTATACACAAAGCCTAAGGGTTTACATAGGGTTGGGAATCAAGAATATTTCTTATTCAGAACTGAATTGTTATGTAAAAATAAAAAAAACTGGAATGAATGAAAATCCAAATTATGTTCATGATGTTCGGTCCTATTAATTCTTCTTGATTTCTGCATCATGAATTATGGCCAAATAAAAACCATGGCAGAATAAATTATGTTTTAACCAAGTTGCGACCAGGGTTGTGTGCCCGATTCCAATTCAGTTCCTAAATTTGAATTAAAGTACGAAATAGAATGCAGAATTGCAATTCAAATTTGAATGCGAGGAAATTAATTGATGAATTGAAATTCAAAATAATTCCTAAAACTAATTTTTAACTAGACTTTAAAAGTTGAATGTTTGCTTGACAGCCTTGTTTGAAGGCTTTGAAAACAGTATAAAAAGCCTTGAAGTTTGAAGGTTTATTGACCTTACTGAGATCATTTCAGTTTATGTCATTCCAGTTCAACTTCCTGTGGGTCGTGACATTTTCAATTAACATTCACACTCATGAATTTTAAAAGTCAGCCAATCTTCTTCATTCTGAATTTTGCACAACTCTGGTTGTGAGCTTGCAGTATATTGAATATTATGAAAGAGAAAGACTGTGTGGAAGACCATAAATTGACAACATATCTTTATTTTGCATTGCCATCACTTTTACTCACATTGTAGTCCGTTTCATGAATGCAATTTTCCTGTTCAAAACTGTTTTTTTTTTGTTTGTTTGTTTTTGTTATACATAAAAAAAAACGTCACAATTCAGTCTGAAACTAAATGGATAGGTCACCCAAAAATGAAAAGTGTCATCATTTGCTCACCCTCATTTACAAAAAAAGAGATATACACACAACAGTTAGTTCTGGTCCTCGAATCTAATTGGCTGATAGGCGATCAGCAGCATGAGATATTCCACCAATATCAACACCGTTTACCGTTTTTACCACTCTATTTTGTATATTGCAATGTTACTGTTTTTACTGTATTTATAATCAAATAATTTGGTGAGCTTAAAAAGGTATTCATTTTTATTACAGTCTACATCAGTTTTATTAGATTGTTTTGGTATATCACTTAGCTGCTAGTTATGTGTTCCCTTACATTTTGTAACCTACAGTATTGTAATAGATTTTCATGCATAATGTCCCAAATAAAATGTGGGATTGTTTACTCACTGGCAGGGCAGTAAAATCCCAGCGGTTGCACTAAACAGTACCGTTGTGTTTACGAGTGCACACACAGGTGTGGGGTTCTGCGCAGAGTTAGCTGGCAGAGGCTTGTGTTGTGTTGTTCTCTATGGGAGAGGGGTAATTACTTACTGTACTGCCATGTTGTTCCACTCTGTCTTGGCATTGATTAAGCCATTTAATTCAAGATGAATGGCACAGGGTGGCAATAAGCCCTGGATGACAGAGGGCTCCCACTGCGAGCGGTAATTGAGAAAAGGTTTCTCTCAGAGTTGAAAACAGACGCAGGAGCACCACTGTGCATCTGTTTTGTCTCCTTCAGGTCTTTTTCATGACAAACAGGCAGGAATGCAGCACAGGAACCCGGGGAACCCCTTTGGACTTTTGAGCCAAGGCAGACTGGTTCTGTTGTCTGGGTGTCCCAGCTGGCCTGTTGTTCCCTCCCGCGGTGCGTAATTGCTTGATTGCTATCGAGTTTGAAACCCTTGTTTTCCAACACAGCCTATCTGCTTCTGAATTGAAGCGACTGCTAGAGATTAACTTGTCTTGGCTGTTATCGTTTTCCCCCTTTTCTCTCTCTCTCTCTCTCTCTCTCACGTGCTCCAAACAAGCACAATAAAAGCGGAAAGCGAAATGACTGCCCTTCTTGCGATAAGTTAAAACAGTTTCCTCTCGCAATCGCCCATTTGAACAATGCTTTTAAGATTAAGCGGCGTATCTGAGCTTGCATGGGGCGAGCAGAAGTGTCAACGGATGTTCCCCAGACTGCCAAGCTCTTTGATGCTAATTCGGGGTGCATGTGTTGCCACGTTGTGATCTCCACCGATAGAGCTGTCTCTCCTGCTCTCTGTGCTCCCTGGAGATGCTCATCTGCAGGCCCAGTCCAGAGCACATCTTGCTTAAGTGGAAGTGATGCTCTGGTTTGCGTGTCAGAAGGAATCAGCCCATGTCCCTTGTTTACCTTCGCTCTCCCCAGGCCTGAAGATGCCTTGTTTGTCAAGCGCTGTGCTGTTACTATTTCATGTTCCAGGAGAATAGAGATCTGCACACATTATACGCAGGCAAAATGTCTCGTATTGGTCTCGCAGCTTGCTCGTGTAGATTAGCCTTCACTCTCGGAAGCTATACCAACTTTATCCTCGACTTTATTAAAGCTTTAAATAAACGCCTCTTCGTTTTGCCACAGTCCTGCGATGTAATTTAATCCCATACTTTAGCGCACGCTCTGGACTTACTGTGTCATCCAATCCTGTTGCCAGAGGGGAAAAAATCATTGTGCAACTAAAGGTTGAACACATCCTCGGCCAAGCTCGAGTTTCGAGGGAAGCAGTTCCACTGAGTGCGTTTCTTTCCATAATTAGTCCAAGCGTGTCACTGTGAAGTATCTTATGGGCATTTTCTGAAACATGAACAGATGAGATAAATAGGGTGTGATATACCTCTCTTCTTGTGCTGTAAAATATTCCCATAGTAGCGTAAAATAACAATGATTTTCAGATTCGTTCAGATCAGTGGTTTTCAAAAAATTTGTCAGAAATGAGTGCATGTTTATGTAATTCTCTACATATTTTCTAGAATATTAGTATGTCTTTGTATTTAGTTGTACGTTTCTGATAATTCTATTATTTCTGCATATATTTGTACATTTTATGAATGCATGTTATGAATAAATTGAATAAGTGGTGCTTGCTTGGGCAAAACTTTTAGGTGGTTTCCAAACTATTGCTATGTGGTTGTTAGGGAAATCCAGGTGTTTGCTGCGTGGTTTGTTGCCAATCTTTTAAAAAAAATGTATTAAATGTAAATTTTAAATAATCACGTACAATTTACACCACCATTCAAAAGTTTGCGGTCATTTTTTAAAAAGAAATTAGTACTTTTATTCAGCAAGGATGCATTAAATTGATCGGAAGTGACAGTAAAGACATTTACATTTTTACACAAAATTTCTATTTCACATAAATGTTTTTCTTTTAAAGTTTCTATTCATCAAAGAATCCTGAAATTAAAATGTATTACCGTTTCCACAAAGAATCCACATGACTGCCAGCTTTGCCATCAGGAATATTTAAATATATTTGAATATAAAACTTCTTTTAAATTGTAATAATGTTACACAGTTTCACTGTTTCTGCTGTATTTTTTATGCAGCCCTGGTGAGCATAAGTCATTTTTGAACGGTACGTCGTGTAACTGCTGTCACACTGAGCATTTGACTTGACTGTTGAGCGTCACCAATGCTGTTAGGCTAATGTGTACAAATGGACACACCGATCACACGCAGTACATGTTCCCTGAATCACTATAGATTAGCTCTAATTAATGGCTCAGATCAATGTGTGTAAAAGCCAAACCTTAAATGGCATTTATGTCCATTATGAAACTTTGCCAGGCGTATAATTACGGTTTTTAACCATTCAAATCCATCACGCAATTTACTGACCCCTTGCGACTTTATAGTTCAACTCCAGCCTCTGAAATGCCTCGTATAAATGACCTTATCATTAATGTGTTCTGCATTATATTTTATGTTCTTTCCACAAACTTAAACATGCTCCCATTTTCTGTAGAATGCAACTTTTTTAATGCCGTAATTACACTTCAGGCAAGGCCTACAGGCAGCTGACAGTTCTATAAACTGTTTTTGGTTTGATATGGGTTTTTTATTTTATATTTTGTCTCAGAAATCTTGGCCCTCGGTTTAGCTGTTAAAATAAATTTTTGCAGATGTGGCCTGAATAAACTCTGCGATTGTGGGAAAATCGCAGCTGAGTTTTTAAGCTTTTTACTCCACTGGCTTTTCAAATACATATAAACTGTTTATACTATAACTTCCCTCCCCCCCATCCCCCCCCCCCCCCCCCCCCCTCCATCGGCTTTGTCTTTTGTCAGTTACATTACATTGTCTGATTTTTTTTTCCTTCGTAAGGGGTTTGTTTTGAAGGTGAATCAGCCCTTGGGTTGTTCTTTTGAAGACTGCATTAAAGAAATGAGAATAATGGCTGGAGTGCGCTCTTAGGTTTCCCTTATCTTCTGTAAATGAGCTGTTTTATCTCTATTTGCGCTCAGTGTAACAGAGAAGCCCCGGCAATTTCATTTGAAGTTACCTGATCTAAAGGTGTGTGTGTCCTGCTGTGAAGTGACATTAGGTGAAGTGGAGGCTTCCCTCCAGAGACCAACAGCCCTTATGTGAGAACAAGCCAATATGGGCAGATAACCAGCATA